GCGATTGCTGATTGGTGGGTTCTGCACGGCGGGTGTGCCCTTGAGCTTTGTAGCATCGCCACACGTCTGATGTACACGTGGGTATGCGCCTCTCCTGCAGAGAGGAACTGGGCGCTGCACGAGCGCATCCACGAGAAGCGCCGCAACAGCTTGGACTTCACGAAGATGACCGAAATGGTGGAGATGTGCACGAACAAGAAGCTCCTGACATGTAGAGCGAGGAGGAGGGGACTCGTCCTGCCATGGGGTGATCTGGAGGAGGGGTTGGACGACATCCCGGAGCCACGYCGTTCAGGCACTCTGCCACCGGGATCACTGACTGACGCGGAGATCAGACGGCAGGCGCGCAAGATGCAGCGTGCCTCGACGGTCCGCCACCCGCTTTCAGTCGAGAGTGTGTTCGGTCGTCGCGTGGCTCATATCGAGCTGTACGACAAGGAGATTGAGTACGAGTCGCCCGTCGACCCACAGGCTGCGGACGAGATGGAGGTCGAGGCATGGACGGACCCAGAGGAGTTGGAGCAGGGGGGTAGTGACGCGCCCGAGCGTGGTGAGGACTCTAGCGGGGAGAGTGAGCATGCGGCCACCAGTGATATGCGGTCTCGGGATCGACAGAGCCATTGCGAGCGCACTCCATTGTCGAGAGCGGAACGCATGGCTRCGAGGGKGYGCAAGCAATCACAGGTTGTGCGATCGTCGAGTGAGGACGATGGAGGTGAGGACGGGGATGTCGTCGACGATGAGGACTCCRATGACGAGTACATGGTCAGAGGAGAGGACCCTGATGGAGCGGCCTTGCAGGGGACGGAGTGCGGTGGCGACGGTGGGGCAGTTCATGGCATAGCGGGCAACGCTAGCCTTGTCACTCCTACTGCAGGCACAACAGGCGTGGACGTCGGCGGCCTGCAGGGATATGGTTTGGATGTGCCACAGGGATCCATTCCGTCTGGCATATTCAGGGACGACTTCGATGTTGGTCGCCCGCCGACTTCGGAGGAAAGAGGCGGTGGGGTGCGGGTTCGGACACCGGCGACGGCGGCGAGTGATGTTGTGCACCACATAGGGTCGGTTTTTGTTGGAGTGAGTCCGGGGATGTTGGCAGAGGTTGCCAGAGCGACAGGCAAGGGCAAGGAGGGCAGGCGTGGCGACGAGGTTGACTATAGGCCTCCATCGGCGGTTAGAGAGGCCGCAAGGCGGCTAGCTATGGACCCGGATGACATCCTCGAGGAGGAGCGGTTGAGAGAGATGGTCGCTACATGTTCCACGACACAGCGGCTTGCGTTGGAGSGGGACTAGGCCAGGGCGAGGGAGATGGGATGTGTCGTGGAGGTGGTCACTGCCGTGAGATTAGCAGCGGAGTCTGCACACGCCAGTCGTGCGACAAAGACGGTCGATGGCCACGACGGGGATGACGACGGCACCAGGATGGGGTTGGATGACACATTTGGCGACGGGATCGCACTGCGCCGTGATGACGACGAGGGGGACGGGGGCGACGTTGCTGTCACGGTTGATGAAGGGGGGTTGCCTGTGTGCGATGGCACTCAGGAGGATCGACAGGTGGATGGAGCACATGTCGCGTTGACGGATGCTCTAACACATCACCTTGAGGTGGAGGATGTTGTACCAGATCGCACTGAGGAGGACATGGACCCCGATGGAGCAGTTCGCACCGCCCCCCTTGGTGCACCGGCGGTCACCATGTCCCTGCTGGAGCACCACGCTGCCGGGATCGATCCAGTGATGGGCAGGAGCAGGCATATATTGCAGCGGCTATGGAAGGTCGTGCCTCCATCTTCTTTGCTCCCTGTGAGTCCGTCAGTGCCCTYCGGTGTATCGGGGGATGTTGCRAGGTCCATGGAGATGGCAGACCTGTTCAAGCAATTGACAGGTCAGAGAGTCATTGAACCGGGAGGGGTGTCATGGGGAGCAGGGTCAGCGGGTGTGGGGGCACAGTCGGTGTCCCCGGGGGCGGTGAGTGGACGACGAGGTGAGTCAGGTGCCAGTGTTGTCGGCGGGGGAGCTGGTGAGGGGGACGCAGCGGCAGCAGCAGCGACACCCCAAGGGCGTGGCCATGTGGAGGGTTCTCCTTCCCCTTCGATGAAGGGGAAGGGGAAGTCTGTATCGTGGAGCGGCATCAGCAAGGTCACCCGAAAACTCAAGGATGCTATGCCTRGGGTCACGGGTGAGAGGAGGGATCGTCGTGGGAGGTTGTCAGAGATGTTTGCGGATGCAGCAGGGTGGGTATGGAAGGGAGATAGGTTGGRGCATCCGGGTGCTGTGTCTTCGATGGTTGCACCGYCGTCACGACCGCCCACAGCAGGAGCAGCACGTCGGGATGGGCAGCGACKCCCTAAGGGGCAATCTTCGACACGTGCTCCGGCGGTTGGCCGACTTCCACACCCGTTCCCGGAGGATATTGTAGATCCTACCACACTGCCGAGTAGCCGTGGAAGTTGTCTCTCGACTGCGCATAGGATACTCGGGGAGGAGCCGCAGCTTCAGACAGGAACTGGACCGGGCAGTCGTCGAGCGGCCGGGGGCCGCACGGAGGATTCCGCGACGGATGGGGTGCCCATGCCTAAGGGTGCGAAGACATACTCCACCCTGACTGGCGTTTTGGGACGTTTTGTTGCACGGGATGTGGAGAGAGAGATTGGGCATCAGGAGGCAGAGACGATGACAGCTGCAGGAGTTGCCAGTCATGCCCGGACTGCACCACAGCCTTCCAGGGAGAGAGACGAGACGACGCCGACGGTGCCGCACAGGCGGCGAGGGGACGTCATCGACGATGATGACACAGAGGATGGGCAGCGTGGTGACTAGGACCAGGACTTTGCTGTGGCACCCGTGATGTTCTGTATGTCTTTCTTTATTTCTTGTTTTATAGGTTTCGTTACTATTTTGTTTTTTTTCCTTGTTGTTTTTAGAGTATTTCTTGTTTTACAAGTTTTTTTATGTTTCGCGTTTTGTTCTGGTTTTGTTCATGGTACCAACGGTGGTGTTAGACTCCGTACTTGAACAATGATGTTCATTATAGTAGAACTTTTGTACTTTACATTTTTCCTTACTAGCGTTTTTGTCTTTGGATATTTCGGTTGTCTATTGTCTACAACTTTCGGTTGTGTTTCGATGATTGCAATTCCTTGTAGTTTGTGGGAATGTGCAATTTTGTCGGGGTTATTTGGGTAAGTTGGGTTTGCTCACGGGTGTGCGGGAATGTGGGGGGAGGGGTTACTTGGGCTTAACGAGGGCATTGG